ACATGTAATATTCATTAAAAGCTTGAGACATAAATTTACCAGTATTATCAAGTTAAATTGTTTTGGTTGCATAATCAAAAAAATGTGTTCATAAATGAATGTTTTGTGAAAGTAATCTTGCAAGTGCCATATATGACCATCTTGTCTATACATCGATTAAAATCATAAAATATTTAAATGATCCATATGGTGGATGTATGGGTCCACATGGGAGATTCAGTCCCAAGTTTAACTATGAATATGTTTTAAAAATATAAGAGATTTAGTCTCAAGTTTAACTAGTGATGGCTTTACAATTAATTTACCTTAAGAGCAAGCAACACATAAGAATTCATTAAATTGAAAAATCTTTTAGTTTTTCAATAGATGATCAAATACATTTTCAAAATTTTTTTGCATCATTATTGATCCAGAATGACCTAACAAGTCATACCAAATATTAAAATTATTAGTAAACTTCTGATTTATTATAGCAAGAATTTCAATTATTCTAATTTATGTGTAATACATTCTAAAGAACAAAGTGAGTAATTTTTCCTAATCACACTTTTTAGCCAAGATAAAATATGTAATATAAAGATATTCAGTGCCTTTTTCATTCTTTGTCTTAATATGATATTCGTTTAGACGAATATCATATTTTATCTTTAAAACTTAATAAATTTTTTTGAGACTTAGTAGAAAATTATTGGCTTCGGGTAGCAAAATATTAACTCTTATGGAACATTCAATTAATCTTATACTACTAGATATTATATTGACATTGATTTTTTTCATTGTCAAGTGAAAAAATATTTTTTATATTTAAATATAGTGTATGTTATAGCACTATCTATTAGACATATATCTTCATCATTGATCTTGAATTTAACAAGATGAATATTCATAGTTTTTTCAATAAAATAAAATATATAGCTAGAAACTTACAAGGTAATATGAGAGAATGTTAAATATAAAATTTATTATTAAAACATAAAAAAAAACCTTCTTAATAAACTTATTCTAAAACACATCAACTTTTTAATAAAAACATATCAACTTCCTTATAAGGGTATACCAAAACACATCAACAAACCATTTAAGAAATTTCATTTTTGGGATTCCATCACCAATCAGATGATCAATTCATTTTTCAAAGTGGGTAAAAGATCAACATCTAAATGTGTTATATCAACTTGACTATCATCTTGAACAGAATTTGTTTCAATATTTTTTTTCTTTTATCTTTCGATAATACTTGATAAAGTTCAACAAAATATTTTGACGTACGACAGATAGGTGACCAATAGCTTTTCATGTCACATTAATAATAGATATTTTCTATACTCTTTTTATTTTATCTACTTTTATCTTTTTTTTTTTGTATATCTTCATTATTCATCTACTTACGGTGGTTAAATATGTTCTTATTATCAGACTAATGATTAATGTAACCACCACGATTGTGATAATTATGGCAACATCTTCTACGTCCACGGTTATAACCATAATTTATGATCACGACCATAATTTCAAAATAATGTCGCATTCATTTCAAAGAATGGAGTAGAGCCAATTGGACAGGATTCATGATTTTTCATCAATAGCTCGTTATTTTCCTCCGCCACAAGAAGATATGAAATTAATTCAGAGTATTTCTTAAAGCATTTTTTACAGTAATACTATTGCATGTGCACATTTGAGACTTGAAAAGTAGAGAATTTTTTTCTAACATATAAGCATGATTCACTTTTCTCTTTACAATTTTAGTTTAGAATTAATTCTAAATAATGTTGAGTTATATTCACTTATAATTTTAAAATCTTGTAACCACAAATGTATCATAACGAGCTATTACTAAAATTATTATTTTCTGATGGTTATAACTTTCCTTTAGGCTATTCCAAAGATTGATTTGATTTTTTATCGTGAGATACTCAATTTTTAATCTTTTATAGGGATAGTGTGTGAAGGAAAATCATTGTGTTTGCCTTGTTCTAATTAGATTCTTTATTTGCTTATTTGAGGATGTCTCCAACACGCAAAGCATCTAAATGAATCTCAACATTTAAAATTCAAAATAGATAGTTCTTGCTAATAATATCATGAGCAAAAAATTCAAGCTTTGTAAAATTTGACATGGTGATAACTGAAGAAAAAATGAATTTTGACTTTGAGATAATAATGAAAAACGATGAAAAACTAAGTGATACCAAAACTTGAAAGATTAAAGAATCGTGTTGTTAGCACAAAATATAAACTTAAAGAACAACTATAAAAAAAAAAGTAAACAATTGTAAAGAAGAAGATCTTATTCAAATTTGTATTTATAAATAAAATGATGAATCTATTTATAAATTAATAACTCCTTATCTAGATATAATTTATAAAATAAAGATAACATTAAGATATTAGATAAATGTATTAAAATCTTAATCCAATTTAGTCTACATCCAAATCTTACAACAAAATGAATATTTTCACGTATATTCATAATAAAAAGAAACTATATTTATAGTGCATCTATTCTTTTTTTAAAAAAAAAACTTATATTGCATCTATTAAATACCAAGATTTATAAAAATTCTTTTTATTCTACAATGTTTTTAGCATTTAGGTTAGGAAGGGAATGGATCATGTTATTGGTAAAATATATTTGTCGTATTTGAAAATATGTAGGATATTTAGTTCTTTACACATACCTTATAAAGTATAAAGTAGTGTAGAAAAAGGAAAAAGAAGTACTAATAATTATTTGATTATTGTAGAATTAATGGATCACTTTACGTGTTGAATTGCAAAACGTGCCATCTGCTCAACTTTGCGAAAAGCTTGCGCTAGTCACATGCTTTGTCGTTTGGCATGCCTAACGTACGATGTCATCCCACTGTTCATATTTTGTTAAAAATCGCATTTCCATAAGGAAAAAAAACTAATATTTTAAATGATTCAGATTTGAATCTTAAGATTAACAAAATCCATATTTTTTATTTTTCGTATGAAATAATATTTTATGTAGATGTTAATTGTATATTATATTTCTTCTAAGTATACTTGTTGCTTTGTAAATTTTACACAATGTTTGTTTTTGTTTATCCACTTTCAAAGAACAAAAATAACAATATATATGAAATGAAACTTTGATAAAGCAAACTAAACATGGAAATTTTACATGCACAATTGCAGGTATAATGGACTATGAATCGTGACCGTTGCCTCATTGTGACACATGAGAATGAAGAAAACAGTGAAGGGAAAAGAGAATACGTCCCATGTAGGAGAGAGTAAGAAGAAAAATATGAAGCAAATTTGGTGTCTGAAAGCCCCATGGATTCTGAAAGAATAAGGCAGTTGATTCCATCAATTGGAGGGTGGTATATTCTTCTGAATGATAGCGATGGATGTGGATCGATTAAGACATTTGTTTGCACTTTCCACTTGCAATTTTTGGCTCAGAAGGGCAAATCGTCCAGACAGGATGCAGCGTCGTTATCTTGTTGGACCATATTCTTCGATCCCCTTGTTTTGCCCTGATATATGCTAAGACGATAGTATCATATTAAAAAAAATATCTTCCACAGTCGATCTGCACATTTGCACTTGATTACATGAATTGGGGGAGCCACTGGGATACATACGACGAGAGAGTGAGAGAGATATTCACATACGGAAAGACTGATTCTCTTCTGCTTTCGCATTACTACATCTAAGTTAATTTTTTGGTTGGAACTTCGAGATTTTAAATTATTTTATAATAAGAGATACTTCGTTTTGCCTCATAAATCTTCTTTTTAAATTTAAATTGGAATCCTGATGTTTAACATAATTAATACCAATAAAAGGTATGATTACTGCAATTTAATATTTATTTTCATCTATTTAAAACCTAATTAATCCTTATACTCTAAATTAAGTTTAAGTGACTTACATATATATAAAATTTAATTGCTTGTAAATTAATGAGATTTGCCATACAAAAGAAAAAAGAAAGGTGAAATTTACACTTGTTTTGTGTACAAGAATTTTACTATGGCCAGGTATAATCATTTTCCTGCTAAGAGCAAGCTAGTTGTTATAATGCTAGAGATTAAAAGAGGAAGTTAAGATTGTTGGTCCAGAGTTCTAGTGAAGGATTGGTACGATGTAAAATTAATTACGTTTTACATTATTTCATATTTTTTATTCAATTTATATATTATTAGTTCAATTCTTAGATTTTATACTTTATTCAATATTCACACAAATTATGTATATCAAGTTTTAAATTAATTGAAAATATTTAATAATTTATTTGATAACAAGAAAAATTTGATTGGTAAATTATATCTTAAAGAAATAATATTTTCGATAGATGTGATATGTATATTAGATTAACTTGAAACTTTGTGTATAAATTAATTTAATACCAATATAACTTGATCCCTCCTCACAAGTAAGATTTAGCCGTGTATATTTATAAAAATCAAATTAAAAATAATGTTAATGCCTTACTTACCACCCTACATTACAAAATAGGAATTAACCCTTTAATAAATACTTGCCACTTATTTGCATTTGTGGAAATTTAATTTTGAGCCAATTGTTTTGGTAAAGAATACAATTACCCGAAAAGATCAAATCATAACCGCTGAGATGTTGGAGTTAAATGGAGGATTTTATTTGATAGGAGTAATACCACCTTTTCTTAACTTGTGACTTGTGAGAAAGAAATTAAATGAGGAAAAAGATTAAAAAGAATATAATGTAGATATTGACAGCCGTACGTTTCACCAGCCGTTCGTTCCTGATCTCTTCTTCTACCTACTACATAATTTATGAAGAACAGGATCCACGTGGCGGGCCAGCGGTGCCAATCTGCTGACAAGACCAAAGAACTGTCAGTACCTGAGATGGACGGTCAAGTGTGAGTTTGGTGTGGGCCCCACGTTCCAAATCTAGCACCTACACCCGTCCCCATGCAATTCTCTACGGCACACGTAGCACTTCCAATATATATCACTTCATTCGAAAATTTAAAAAGAAAAAAATTAAACATAAGATTTTGTTTTTTTTTTCTCTTTCACTCACGCTTCTCTCGGTGGGCTTTGGAACTCTCATTGGCGAAATCTTCTCCTAATCTCATCTCTTCTCTTCACTTCTCTTCTTCTGTCTCTCTTTTTGGATCTGTCTTTTATTATTTTCTCAACTTTTCTTGCTTTCCAAACAGAGAAAAATCGCGGAAAAGAAGTAATGGTTTACGGTTTATCTGGTATACGGTTACCTTGTGTGCCTTCAGTGTACAGGTTCAGTCAGTCAACCTTCAATGGCGCTCGTAGGAGTAGCAGTTTCTCTCTTTTGTTGAAGAAGGATCAAGTTTCTCGTATTCTCTCTTTTCTCTTTTATGCTTTTTACGCTTTCTTTATTTTTTCCCCTTTTTGGAAATACGATTCTCTCTCTTTCAATCTATCTATCTCTCTTGCATATTTTTTATTCAGCTCGAACTTTCTTTACTTCTTCTAGGTGTTATTTAAGTAATCTAATCTTGTATTCCATTTTTTGGATAAGGAAAAAGTTGTTGATGAAACAGTGATTGGATAGCTTTAGCAAATTCTATTACTCAGTAACTCAAACTAGTGAACTGCGATGTTTGATTTATCTTTTCGTTTCTTTTTTTTTTAATTAAAGAGTTCGAGTTATAGTATGATCCCAACGTAAGAAACGAACTGAGTTCGAATACGATGTCGTTTACTTATGAAAATTATGATTAAGTACGGACAGTTAGATTTTCTTTGATTTACGCATTCGCGATCGTTGATTTGTGTTTAGCGTTATCATTGATAAAAAGGTTGATTGTCAAAGAACTGATCAGCATGATTCAAAACGTTACAGCTGAATTCATGGCGGTAAAATAAATTACCATGAAGAAGATTCTGATTTTGAAATGAAGAAGTAATTATTGCAGATCTAAGGAAGGTTAATGTGAAAGTGGAATTGTAAAAAGGATGATTGTAGTCTAATAGCAGGCAAACTTTAGTGGAACGGAATGCTTTAGTCTTACAGTTAGGGCCTAAAGGTACTTAGTTTTAAGCTTGAAATTCTACAGCTGAAGATAAATCGTTGCCTTTGACAACGCTGTAGGTGTATAGCTTGTTGCATTATCAGCCTTATTCAAAGTTGTATTGGGATAATTCAATTTGTTTTCTAAGCATGTCCACATGATCCTTGTTTTTGATTTCTCTTTTTCTCTAATGAAGATGGATTTGTATTTGTTAGTGTAGTTTTTGTGCTGTTAGAACTCTCTATGGCTGGTGACTGCTTTTATAGTAATTTGCTTTGGAGTATGTGGAGAGCTGATTTCATGCTTGCTTGTAGGGAAGATCTTTGCGCAAAAGTCTTCTTATGATTCAGACTCCTCATCCTTAACCGTTGCAGCATCTGAGAAAGTGCTTACTCCTGGTGGTCAGGGTGATGGTTCTCCATCTTTGACTGGTCAATTGGAAAGTCCTAGCACTATTTCAGATGATCCACAGGTCTGTGATTCAACATACAGAGAATTATGCAGACTGTGTAATTTTTTATGTCTGTAAATATTACACTTCTAGTGTTAGATTGAGTGCTTTTGAATTTTCATGAGTTCAGAGGAGCATATTGAGAAATGACATTTTGAGATGGAGTTCATGTCAATAAAGCTTGTTGGTTCTCTAAAACAGTTTTAACTTGTTCCTTGAAGACTTGTGGTTGTTTTTTGGAACTACAATTCTTTTGGAAGAAAATTATTATAAGACACATAATTGGCTGTAGAATAAGGTTGGGGAATTGTATGTTCTTGGTTTTCATATTTGAATTTCTTCCCATTAGCTGTTAATTTTGATGTTCATTTCAGGTAACCAATTCAAAATACAGGAGTGGACTTTATCTTTCTGATTTCTTTATGATTTTTTTATAGGTAACTCATGATGTAGATGGTAATGAAATGGAAGATGATGGGAAGGTTGAGGTTGAAGAACAGGAATCTGTTCCATCTGCACTCGCAAATAATGATGAAAAAGCTTGTGACGAGGCGCCATCTGTCCCTTTACACATGAAAAGTACTGAGAAGGGTGAAGCAAAACCAAGATCCATTCCCTCTCCTGGTGCAGGACAGAAAATATATAAAATAGATCCAATATTGTTGGGTTTCCGTGAACATCTTGATTACCGGTACGATAATCTGCTGTTGTTTACTTGTATGAGCAGTAATTTGAATTTGAAATATTGAGTCTCCTATGGACTGAACAAGATTGCAGATTTTAGTTCCCTAGTTGTTGAAATTTTGTTTGCTATCATACTTGTAGTTGTCTGCATACTGTGTTTCTCTATCAGCACTTTGCTGGATTTGCCCATGGTTGTTGGAGGTCCACTGTGGATAGGAACTCAGTGAATAAATCTGTATTTTCATTTCTCATATTAGCTGTTCATGATTGTACTATGATTTTGAGGAGCAATACTTGAAAGAGCACTCACAGTTAATTATGTTTCTGTGCTTTGTTTCATTACGTTAGGGCTGCACTTGGTTTTTTATTTCTATTATTTAGTTGTTTAACAAGTTTTACCTGGTTGAATGAGTAAGCAAGTAGCTCTGCCTTTTTTTTTTTCTTCCTGCGTATTTGAATCACATATGATTGATTTTTAAAGTTTGTTACCGATCTGCCACTGGCTTAAATGGCAAAAGCAATAAGCTGCTAATGGTCTTGTCATTATATGTGCATTTGAACCCCAGGGAAGGAGCTACACTTACTACTGAAAAGGATCCTAAAAATGCCAAAATTTAATGCGTCTGATTAACTTGCTTGTGTAAGGTGTCATTTGACATGGCAACATTAATTTTGATGGTCGATATGTTTTTTTTTTGTAGATGTTTATCTCTCTGTTGCATTTAATCTTGCAGTATCTGTTTTTGTCTCTTTTGTTGAGGCAGATTCTTCTTTTGTCCTCATCCAAGTTCTCATTTTTTTTTCTGTATTTTATTTTTTCAGCACTGCTTTATATCCAGAATAAGTTAAAACCTTTTTCAAGATTTGATTCCCCTCGTAATTTTATCTAATTACAGGTATGCACAATACAAAAGAATTCGTGAAGCAATTGATAAGTATGAGGGTGGTTTGGAGGTGTTTTCTCGTGGCTATGAGAAGCTTGGCTTCACACGCAGGTTACCTTTCTTCCCGATGTCTAGTTGTTAGCATGGGTTCATTTTCTGTAGCTGTAGTTTTGCATATTGATTGCAGCTCCCATGTTTGCATGTCATTGCTTACACTAAATGTAATTTGTTTTGATTTATTACTCTTTCTGGTTCAAAGAAACAATTTTCATTTGTTTTGATCTATCACAAAAACAATTTTCATTAGATGAAATTAGTGTTAAAGTATTCTTGTAATTGATTTGTGTGGGAATCAGTGCACATGATTTTCCAGAACTTTTACTTTTTATGTGTTTAAAATTCAGGCAGATTATTCTCAGAATGAAATCAAGTTCCTTGTGGTTCAACAACAAGTTATGGAATAGGTGTTTGGTTCTTGGGTGCAAGTAAAAATAGATAAATTTTATGACAGGCCATATAATTAGTCCTTTCCTCCATTGTTTGGCTTTTATACGTTTTGTTTATTTATTTCTCCAGAGTTTATATGTTTTATTAAGTCATTTATTTGTTGTCCTTGTTTCCTTTATGTTTTCTTTGTATTACATTACTTAATTGCTATCTTGTTGACTTTAATTTTTAGTGAAAATGTTATTTTCTAATCATGTTTTATGTCTTAAATTTTTTATATGATAAGTTGATGTTGTTCTTTCTGATCATAATCTCATATGGCTTTCAGTGAGACAGGAATAACTTACAGGGAGTGGGCACCAGGAGCTAAGGTTTGTTATGCATCATTCTAACATTTTGAGACTTTTACCATTTAATCTTAGTAACTTCTATGTGTCCTGTTTTTACTTCAATTGTTGTGCTTATCATACGGCATTTTCTTTTTCAGTCAGCAGCTCTGATTGGAGATTTTAACAATTGGAACGCTAATGCAGATATTATGAGTCGGGTATGCTATGTTTTTTACTGTAAGAACAAATTGACACCTATGCATTACTTTTAAATGAATTGATATATTTAACTTGAAGTGTATTGAAGTACATGATAATTGGACAGTACCTTTGTAAGTGCTCCTAAATGCGATTTTCTTTGGTTTCTTTGTGAACCTTCCCCTATAATATGTTATGGAGTGGCATAATGAAGTTGGTGCTGCTTACATCTCAAAATATCAGTAACTCAGCTCTTTGTTTTTGGGGCAGTCTTCTTACAATTTTACATCTGTTGATGAACTCCATATGATTTGTGTTGCTATTAAATGAGCTCTGACCTCCCCATGTTAACTCTCTGGATCAGAACAAGGTGCTTTAAGATTTATGCCTTAGGAAACTGTAGTTTTTGCATGCTCAGCTGTTCCTAAGTCAATGCTTAATCTTCTCTAAATGGCACAAGCTGAAAGAAGTTAAAGTTATTTAAGCTTGGATTGTTAGAACACTTAGCTTAATATTAAATCTGAATGTGGATATGGATCGTTTTATTTATATGTGAGCATGAGTAAGCTTCTTAATGGACCAAAGATTAGGTGTATAGTCTGGTGTAGTTGGTATACTTTGAGGGCCCAAATGGTAAAATAAAGAAGATAATCATTTTTTTATAATGAAATATCAGAATATGTAACAATTAATTGTATTAGCAGATTCAAGTATTATTAGCATGCCATGCAGTCAAGTATAGAAGGGAAGGTAACTGTGCTAAATGCTTAGATAGCCATGTTGATTTACATTGACAGTGATGTCTTGTGTAATTGTATCTAGTGTCTTCTATTTTCCATCTAGTGTTTAACTCTACAAAAGTGAACTGGCTTTTGACAGAATGAGTTTGGTGTCTGGGAGATCTTTTTGCCTAATAATGCTGATGGTTCACCACCAATTCCCCATGGTTCTCGTGTGAAGGTAAATTACCTGTAGATGAATTATAAATTTGGCTTTCGAAAAGTTATTGTGTTCCCATTTAAATGCTGCCTGTTTATTAATTTTTTTGCACTTTTTCGATTCAAAGTGACAGGAAATTGTAAAAAATTATAACTCTTTCCTTGTAAATCAACAATTTATTTATCCTCTTAGTCATGACCTGTGGACCAGGATCCTTCAAGTGACACTGTTTTCTATGCAGATGCCATTGCATGTCTAATTTGCAAAATTCTCTTTTGAATAAAAAACTGTCATATATGATTTTAACGTTGGTTCGTAGTCAACAACCTTCACAATAATTAATTTAACTAGAATCCATGATGCAAAGGTGTGTTACTAAATAATTGAAAAAGTTTAACGGTTTTCTTCATATTTAATAAAGAAAACTGGTTTTAGAAATAAGTTGTAATATGATAATGGCAACTTGTGATATAAACAAGAGAAAAAATAGGAGATATTGGTCATTGAATAAGAGGAGAAAAATTGGGACTGTGAGAAGGCTAGTTGCTGAGTTTGATTGAACATGAGTTAAACATTTTTAAAAATATTACGTAGTTTATATGAGTTGAACTAAGACAGTTGCTTTTACTATCGTTAAGATTATGGTTGAGGAATTTATAATGTGCTGTATCAATCAGACATGGAAGGCATTATCATAGTTAAGTTCATTTTCATGCAATATTTTCTTTTAAGCTGGATGATTACAGCAGTTATTGCCAGTTTGCTTCTCTACAAAATCTATGGATGCTTATCATGTTCTTCCATGCATATATGGTCAATATTCCTAGGTAATCGAGATATTAAAGAATCTCAAAATATACATGTTGCTTCTTCCACTAATTTAGATGATAAAAATTACTAATAATTCAAGCACATGTTATGGAACCTGCTTATAAGGCCATTTATGCAAATTTAAAATCCTTCAAAGAGCTTAGTGCATGATTAATCTTCTGAAACTTTGCAAGAACAAATGTTATGGAGAAAAATACGATATAATTCTGCCGTTCAGTGTAAAGTGTTGTACATGCTGGCCTTAAAGTATTTAATGGGTGGACTCCAAGTCAAACAAAATTATTCAAGGTATCCGAGTTCAATTCCAACTAATTACCCCCCCGCCCCCAGCCACCCCCTTTCCAAAGAGAGAGAAAGAAAAGACAGAAAACAAAAACAGTTTCTTTTTCTGGTGGACTGTTGTGATCATGTCAATTATCATTAATCTATTTGCCATGTGTCAGTATTAACTTGTTGACCATATAACTGTAGATTCATATGGAAACTCCATCCGGGATTAAGGACTCCATTCCTACTTGGATCAAGTTCTCTGTTCAAGCACCAGGTGAAATCCCATACAATGGCATATACTATGATCCGCCAGAAGAGGTATATTTAGTGGTTGTTTGATCTCTTGATTTTGTTGGAAATGTTAGATAACTTATTGTTCTCAAACCATAAGCTGCTGAAAAAGTGGAGTTTGCATAAAATCAGAAGTATTAACTAGTGTTTGTGATAATCTTAAAATGACTGCATGTGTGTGAATATACATAGGCAAAAGCATGCGTGAGTGCCTGCACAAGAATATGTAATTATATAAACAGATAAGGATTTTCGTATTCATCTTCAAGTAAGGATTCAAGGAGGTTGTTTTGATGAATGTTGTTCATTATATCCTTGTGTTAAGATCGATTCCCTTTTCAAAAAATAATAATAATAATAATAATAAAAAGGCTTCTAAGAAAACAATTTTGGTTTGTTCACTTCACGTTCATGCTTGTTCAAGTTTAATCACTGCACAGCATGATTGACTTAGTTGAGTCTGTTACATGTGTCTTATCTCAAATTTCTTGCACTTTCTATCATGATTAGTCATATTTAATTTGTGACAGGAAAAGCATGTATTCAAACACCCCCAGCCAAAGAGACCAAAATCACTTAGAATCTATGAGTCACATGTTGGAATGAGTAGCACGGTATGCATCTCCCTTCTCCCTTTCACATAGCAATTTGTTATTTTAACAATTCTGTCTTTGTGCTCGATTGCATTTGTATGGTTGATTTAATATTAAAGGAGGAGCTGGACTTTGTGAAAATGCTTCATCAAATGCTATCATCTGTGGGATCATAATTTTTGTATTGTGTCTTTCAAGACTTGCTATAAAGAAGTGTTCCAGCAAGGCAATGAGGGAAAAGTAGGCAGGAGTTTTGTGAGACAATACATTGGACAATCATCATATTATTAAATTTGAACTATAAATTTTACACCCCCCTCCCCAAACACACACAGAGACAGATAAAAAAGGAGAAACAGTTTAAGCTTGTATTGATCATTTTAAAGAGCATCAAATAGTGTAGCTGTCTGAAAAGGCCTTTGAAATTTTGAAAATGGAACTGTTTGTTTTATCCTTGTCCAAATGGGAGTGTGGCCTCTCGTAAAGAGACACCCATGAAATTAAGCTCACAGAAAGCAACGTAGGTGTAAATGGCCTACCTTTGGTGTTATTTGCTTAAAGGAAATTATTCTATTCAGATTGTACTAAAATATAAGTGTTAGTACAACTAGTAAATGATAATGCAAATGCCAAACAGCTACTGATTTAGATCTCTGTTAACTGCTTTGTGTTTAGAAATGTCTTAAACAGCACTTACAAAGCAATAAATGAAAGTTGGTAGGAATGTGTTTCATTAGGATTCTTTGTCCACTTCTAAAACCCTTGGAGGGTTGGGTCCAAGTCGTAGGACATGGTATTACAAAAATATAGTTTTCTGTTATTTGTATCAAAAGCTTGCCATACTAAAAGGTTCTCAAGCCTTAACATGCTAAGTTGTATGTAGCTAAAATACAATCAGTGTTCTCCTTAAATGTAGGAAACGACCATTCCGCTTTGTGTTTTTTGGAACATATGAAGAAATCTAAGGGGGGGAGAGGGGATTGTAAACCTCGGACCTCAACACTCTTAAAAAGAGGCATAACAGACACTAGGCTGAACCTGCTTTGCTATGATGAAAAAGTCCAGTAAAAGCAATTTAGTGTGCTTTAAGATTTTTGTTTTTCCAGAAAATGATTCTGACAGCTAATCTGAAGTATTTCTTTTGGTAGTTCCTTTTGTTGATTGTGCATCAATCAACTTTTAGCCTTATGTATTGCCTTGCTATGTGGTAGTAGTTTGTGGATATAGTATAAGACTGACATACTTTGTAAATTTTGCTCCCTTTCTGATTAAAATGTAAAGTTTGCTCATTTTTGCAAGGAGCTAAATTTTCAAGCATAATGTGGTTCAAAGAAAATTTGTCCCACAAACACCCTTGGTATTTATTTTCCATGTGACATTGTGGTATATTTAACCCATTTTTTAGCTAACTTAATCTTGTGAATTCTGGGATGCAGGAGCCAATAATTAACACATATGCCAACTTTAGAGATGACGTGCTTCCCCGCATTAAAAGACTTGGATATAATGCTGTTCAGATTATGGCTATTCAAGAGCACTCATATTATGCTAGCTTTGGGTATTATCTCCATCATGATGTTAGCTCAATCTATTTGTTGCTGTTTATGTTTGTTAACTTGTACTAAACTTCTATACTGTGGATGTGAACAGAAGTATTCTTCAGAATTTAGTTTTGTTTATGGAAGCTAACCTCTTCTACTTTTAACAAGTAAGTTTTATCTAACATGTTCCAGGTATCATGTGACAAACTTCTTTGCACCAAGCAGCCGCTTTGGAAACCCTGATGATCTTAAGTCGCTGATAGATAGGGCTCATGAGTTGGGTCTACTTGTTCTTATGGATATTGTGCACAGGTTATAATTAGATTTGCAGGAGAATTTCATTTCCTTAAACATGCCTTCGGCTTTATTTTCTGTTACTTTTTTTACACAAACACTTATTTTTCCAATTTCTTTTTTTAACAAGGAAGGAAAATATCAACTCCTTGTCATTTCCTGCTTTGACTCTATGGTCATGCTTCCAGTAGGCTTGATGCAAATATAGCCATGAGATTTTAGGTTCTATTTGGTTGTTACTCTTCATACTTGGTTTTTTCTAGTTGCTTTTGCTTCCTAATAAGTTGCTAAATAACAAATTGAAAAGGGGGAAAGCAAAATCATAATTGGTTGAAAATAAACAAAGACTAAAATGCAAATAAAAGTTTTAATATAATGTTCTATAGAAAGAGGAATTTTAGTAGAAAAGATTATATTTTTTATTTTTAATTCTTTTAAAGCTAGTTGCAAAAAAGAATCAAACAGTACCTCAGTGTATTTTTTTATGAAGCAAATTTTATCCTATATGTCATGTATGTTCAATTCTTTTCTAAACTGTAGAACAAATTTTTATTTGAGTATTTATTCTGTTGCCTTAAATAAGCAATTTTTTGCTATAAGTTTCAGTTAATTTTTAATTTTGTCTTAAGGCTTTGATTAATTTTCTCAGCCATCTTTGTATCTGACTGATGTTTGATGAATACAGCCATGCATCTAATAACGTGTTAGATGGATTGAACATGTTTGATGGAACTGATGGTCATTACTTCCACTTGGGGTCAAGGGGTCACCACTGGATGTGGGATTCTCGCCTTTTTAACTATGGAAGCTGGGAAGTATGTACTTTCTAGCCAAACTTCTCTTAAAGAATAGTTTGTTGAAAGAGTTTTGCTTACTCCCATCCTGTTGTGTGTAATATTAATTGTTACTTGTTGCTTTAGGTACTAAGGTTTCTTCTTTCAAATGCAAGATGGTGGCTGGAAGAATATAAGTTTGATGGTTTCAGATTTGATGGTGTGACTTCAATGATGTACACCCATCATGGGTTGGAGGTATTACCTGAGAGTTTTTGGAAATTTTCTATTTTGCTTGGTGTTAATAACTTGCAACTTCAGATGTTAATTATCAAAGTTTTGACTTTATTTTCACATAGAGCAGTGGAACTGATATAACTTTTGGTTCTTGCAATTGTATGGAGCATCATTTTTCTATGCTTGTTTCTTAATTCAATTCTCTTGAGGGCTAAAGCCACTGCATCTTTATAATGTGTTACCCAACTTAACATTTGTTTTGCTGAACTTGCTGTAGGTAGCATTTACTGGAAATTACAATGAGTACTTCGGATTTGCAACTGATGTAGATGCTGTTGTTTATTTGATGCTGGTTAATGATATGATTCATGGGCTCTATCCTGACGCTGTTACCATTGGTGAAGATGTAAGTTCTAGAACTCCTGTTGGAGTCATGATGAGTATCCTTCAACTCATACATCTATCTCTTCCCAGGATTATGATGTTCAATACAAGTCACTATAGCAACCTTTGTTGCCCTGAATTGAGTAAATGGAATGGAGTTTCAATATATTGTTATGGTGCATGTGGGTGCTAAGGGTATAAATGGTTTTCAAAAAGTTTGCAGGCACATGCCTGTGTGTGCATAAGCATACCACACTTTTGTGTATTCTGCATGTTTTGCTAATTCTCTACTGCTTCATCAGTTTTTTATGCATCTATTGAATTCATATACCATGAATAAGCAGGTTATTCTTCTAGTATTTTAGTGAATTTGATATTGTACTGCCTGTTGCAGATTGAACTGAGGAATTATTAAAATGCTTGTTGCAAATTGAACTAACCTTTATTGTAGACCAAGAATTATGAAAGCATAATAACTAAAAAGGCCAAAAATGAAATTTACAAAAACTTTAGAAGGGAAAGAATGAGAATCTCTAGAAATCCTAAAATATCCTTGCTGTTTCAGAAATTTCATTTTTTGTGCAAAGGATTTACCTATAGGCTACTAGCACAACAAAATGAGATTTATGTTTTACCTATTAGAAATATTAGCATTAATTTGTAAATAAGATCTAGTTGACAAAATGCTTTTGTTGGAGTGATTTAGTTGCAGACTTTCATATGCTATTTGCAAAGTCATTCTGAAAATTCTCCAAATATTCTAGCAAGAGGTTGGAAAGAAACTATATTTGAAAGTAGACTTCCACCATCTTAAATTGTCATCAGTAATAAAAAATCAATTGAATAATGAATAAAACAAATAAATGAATTAACACTAAGAGGAGTGTTATCAAGATGAGTAATTCTTTCCAGACTTTTGCTAATCTTTCAATTGTGTTACAGGTCAGTGGAATGCCTACATTCTGCCTTCCTGTCCAAGACGGTGGTGTGGGATTTGATTACCGTCTGCAAATGGCCATTGCTGATAAATGGATTGAAATTCTTAAGTGCGTAGTTATCCACTTTTAAACTTTTTACCATGTGATAACTTTGATTTTAGTATCTTATTGTGAAATGTATCTGATGTTAAACTGTATTTATGTTTTGCCTTGCTGTGTCATAAAGGAAGAGGGATGAAGACTGGAAAATGGGCGACATTGTTCACACACTCACCAACAGGAGGTGGTTGGAAAAGTGTGTTGCTTATGCTGAAAGTCATGACCAAGCTCTAGTTGGTGACAAAACATTAGCGTTCTGGTTGATGGATAAGGTTAAATATGTTCTTGCTTATATTCATGCTGATGAGCATCACACTTGGAAAGCTAACTGGCCTGGGGAAATGCTTTTACTTAAAAATCTTTTCTTTCCTTGGTCTCTAGCTATTAGAAATTGGCAATTATATTCATATCATATGTTGCTAATTACTTCTTCCTGCAATCAAAGTTAAAATTCCCGTGTTTTCCAAATTACTAAATTTTATAAATGATAGGGTGTCAATTTGAATGTTTCATTTTAATTATTTGCCTGTCTATGTTTAACTGATTTATGATTGACTTTACTTCTTTAGTCTTGACAATTTCTCATGTTTTTGTGCTTCACCACATATAGCATTTTGCAGAGTTAAATACATATAAAAAATGCATCTTATTCTTTATTTAAATAGAGAAAATGTGTATAACTAGCCCAATTTAGCTTTATTATTTATATCATTAGCTTCAATTCCTTTTTGCAGGATATGTATGATTTTATGGCTTTAGATAGGCCAAGTACTCCACGTATAGATCGTGGGATAGCATTACACAAAATGATTAGGCTTATTACCATGGGACTAGGTGGAGAAGGATATTTGAATTTCATGGGAAATGAATTTGGACATCCTGGTAAGATCAACTGGTTGCAACTCTTCCTAATTAATGTCTCATCATTCTTTATCATCAAATTATACAATTCTTAAATGCTGTGTTACAATTTCACCATTATTCTTTTATTTAGAGTGGATTGATTTTCCAAGGGGTGAACAGCATCTTCCTAATGGTTCTGTAATTCCTGGGAATAATTACAGTTATGATAAATGTCGACGTAGATTCGATCTTGTAAGTTTCTGCTTCAATTAATAATTTGCCTGGGTTCCAATTTATTAAAAGTACATTGCCACTTATGTGATGTTCATCTGACGACAGGCAGCATTATATGTATTTGTATTATACAATCAATAATCAAATATATAATGGTATTATTGATCCTCACAGTTGCTTTGCATAAATGTCTCTGCTTTATGTGTGTGTGGGTACATGTGCCTCAATAATACGTTGTTATATTTGGTTATATGCACACAGGGTGATGCAGACTTTCTGAGGTATCGTGGGATGCAAGAATTTGATCAGGCAATGCAGCATCTTGAAGCGAAGTATGGTGTAAGTATCAATGGTGCTAACTCTTTTGCTGTTTCTTGCATGCTGATGGATGGGATTGCCTTAATCATACATTTGTGTTGCTTATTTTATTTTTTTATGATATTGATTTATTACACTCAAATATGTGTGGAAATTTAAAATAAAAGAAAAATAAACGAAGAAATTGAATGAATGTTAAGCATGATAGAGGAGAGGAAGAAAATATTGAGAGGGTATAGAGGTAAACATCTGTGATTACATCCTGTTGTCACTTTAATTAGCTAAATGTCTTTTATATTCTTTTGTTTGTAAGTGGTTTTGTTTTTGTAAGACAATAATTTTCTTAAGTCATTCCTTGAACCTTTTTGCCAAATTTTGTCGTTAATGATTTTCTTTTAATATTGTTTCATGGCCATGGATCTATAAAACTAAAAGAAGTCCCTAAATTCAGGTTCACCATTACATCCTGTGAGAATCTCTCTCACCTTTGTATATTCTTTCCCATCCACATAAAAGACAGAAGAAAAGAATTAAGAATTCATTGGATTACTCAAATTTTAAACAAGTTCTTTCCCTTTATTGCATATTTCATGGAATACAAAGTTTTACCCTTGATTTTGTAGTAGTATACTTTCGTGTCATGGTCTTCTACAATTGTCAGCTGTTGTATCTAATGAGATTTATCCAAAATCAAACACTGTTGTCTGGATCACCTGGAAGCTTTACTTTCCACTTGTTTAGAATGTAAAAATGATGCATGGTTGATTGTTTATTCAGTTCATGACTTCTGAGCACCAATATATATCGCGGAAGAATGAAGGAGATAGGATGATTGTCTTTGAAAGAGGCAACTTAGTTTTCGTGTTCAACTTTCACTGGAATAACAGCTATTTTGATTATCGAGTGGGCTGCTTAAAGCCAGGAAAGTACAAGGTATAAGATTTGTCTCCCACCTTCCCTCTTGATTATTCATTGCATTGATCCACTGATAATTCATTTTCTATGTGGATTTGATTCTTCAAATATTGTTTCAGCAAAGTTATGCTGTATGTAATGAGATGGTTAACATTTTATTTTGTTCCTCTTCCAGATTGTATTGGATTCAGATGATCCATTATTCAGAGGCTTCAATAGGCTTGACCATAATGCTGAGTACTTCAGCACCGTAAGGAAATTCATGGCAGATTTATAGCTGAATTCTATTCACCCTTCCTACATACCATTGTCTTCAAGGGTTTTCTAACTCATAACCTAATGGGGGCTTGTGCAGGAAGGATGGTACGATGACCGGCCTCGTTCCTTCTTAGTGTATGCTCCAAGTAGAACAGCAGTGGTCTATGCATTAGTAGAAGATGAACCAGAAGCGGTTGGCAAACCAGAACCTGTGCAGAAAATTGGAACACTGGAAGAAGCAGAAGCTGTGGAAGAATTGGAACCCAGGAAAGAATCTGAACCTTTAGAAGGCTAAACTTATCTGTATCACAGATACACGTTATATTGGAAAAGTCTGTCTTGAGCAGCTGCCCCACTGGACAAGGTAATTTTGGCTATAAATTATGGAGAATATATAATTCCTAGATCGGGAGTTTCACCGCCCAGGAGATGAAACGATCAGAGACAGTGTCGATTGTCCGTAAAAGGATGGGCATGCAAGCAGAATCCGGAGCATTAGAAGTCAATCTTTTGAGCAATATAGTCAATTTTCCCGTGGCTCGCCTGTAAATGTTTCTGGCTGTAAGATAAAACAATTCTATTTACAGCAATGTGAGGGTACGCCTGAATTCGTTTAAGATATGGAGCATCCTAATGCAATAGAGATGCAAGATTGACCTAATTATCCAGTCAATATCACGTCACACTTCGTAGATGTTAATCTTTTATTACTTTTATGCATTTCTTTTCTTTTCAATTTTTTTTTTTTGAGGGGGAGGTGGAGGGGGAAGGTGGGGTATTAAGTGCGGACCCGTTTCGAAGATTTTCTGTAGAATGGAATTAAGAGTCAATCGGAACTCAGTCACCTCTTAGTCTTTAGCATGTGGTGCAACAAATTCCTTATCGAGGTGGTTATTTGGCATAAATACAAAGTCAAAAGTTTAAACGGAAACTTTTTCATCAGGTAAACCTCACTATAGCAGACGGTAACTTGTGTCAGCTAATATTACAAATAACAACTACAACATCATAAGCAGAAAATGTGGTTCAACAATGATAAAAACAAAGAACAAGCAATTTACACGGAAAGGTGTTTGGAGTGCCTAAAACAGTTGAAATCAAAAGAAATATAACACCAGCATTTACCTAGTAAATTCAAGTGCTAACATAGCTAGTTTCAGATGCAGAACCCCTGGGCAACTGATGCAGAACACTTGTAGGTGATGAATTAGATGTCGATGATCTTAAGGCCTCAGCAAGGGGTCCTCCCATCGAAGCCACCTGGTTCGTGGCCCATCCGGCAGCCCAATTCCTTCCGCTGTCCCGGGGACCCAGTTGGTCTACATTGCCAGTAGAAAGCTTCAACGACACGTCTGATGAGGAGTTTCCGGGCACGGACATGGAGAGGCATGTTGCAGAATTCATCGGGCTTGCACTTGTTCCAGCATTGTCAGGCTCTTGTTGGGATCTTGGCCAGTCATCGAAAAAAGGTCTCAAAATGTGACCATCAGATCGGTTATCAACTTCATTTTGGGCTTCAATAAGGCCCTTATGTTCATTTTTAGACTCGGAGGAACTGCCAGGACATAAAAGAACATTACAGAGCCAAAAATAAGCAAAAAAACAAGCACGATCAAGAAAATATTGTACTAGAGCATAAGCAAAGCACGTTAAAAAGACTAAAGAAGTGGTTGGGGTCAGTTTGTACAGAATCTAAGGCTAGTGCCCAGATTTAAGATTACGTTGGTCAGATCTTGATTAGGGTCCTACCAAGGAGATATCACTAGATAAAAGCACCACATCCCAACAAAAAGATTCTGCCGAATCCAAAGTTCCTACTTCCACGAGTTTGTGACATATTAAATATGGAAATATCCCATCCTACTTTAAACCATAACAACAAATTACCATGACGATAGTCTTTAATTCGAGTTGAAATCTTCCTGCATAAGCCATCCAAATTTGTACACAACTTAAGACCTACTTTTCAATTCAGAGTTAGATACAGGACAAGCACAAATATCAATTCCCAATTTCCAACCAGCATATTCCACCATTGCCACCAGCAAAATCATCACCTTTTTTCCCTCCATGTTGCGGTTGGAATTCAAACCTCGATTCTTAAGTCGCTCAGCTGTTCTTATCAAATGTGGCAGGATGCTTTCCCAGTAGATTACCAATAATGGGTAGTACCAATAGTCATTATTAAATCAACCTTAACAACAATAGTAGCTACACATCATTATTAACAAATGACAAGACAGGGAGAAAGATTACCTATGATTAAGGTGAAGAAGATCAATGGGTGGATAAGGCCCTGAGAGGCCAAAATTGTTAGTTCCACTAGCCACCACTGCTAAGGGGGAAGCGGTAATTGGGGAACTGACTTTAAGGGCACCACATCCAATAGCACCAACACCGGCCCCAGAAGCACCGCCAAATGGAGCGGTGGCATTATTGTTGGCGGTGGTGCTAGATGTGGGCATTTCCACAGGCTTTCTTGAACGGTTGCGGCCACGGTGCATGTGGCGCTCGCAATACTTCTGGCCGGCCACCACGTCCCTCGAGCACCTCCACTTCTTACCGTCAGTTCTCCGGCACCGGCCTGGCTCTGGATCCATTGCTGCCCTTCCCCAGTACCCTGATTGCAACACTGGCCACACGTGTTCATTCTCTTCATCAAAAAGTTCACTACTACTCGTAGTATTTATTTTTTGGACGGATTCATTAAATTCACTTGGGTAGACATATAATAATATAAAATTATTTAAGGCATGGACCAACTTCTTTGAGCTCATAGTTTTCTTATGCTACAGGCAAAATAAATTAAATGAGAAAGTGATAAAGTACACATTTGACAAATATAGAAGGAAGATCCGATCCCAATTGGGAGATCAGATCTTGACGAAAATGATCCTTTAAAACGTGTGGTGAACCACCAAAACCCTACGGAGAGTCGAAACACAGCCACTGTTTTGGAAGGTAGACAAAATCTAAACATTAATTGATACGAACCCATGGAGTTAGTGTGCCCGAGTCTTACGCATCTAAAGATGAATGTAAATGATTTGAACATTTAACAGTACTAGAAGAAGGATAGTTGATGAATAGACTTACAAGCTGGCTGTAAGGGAGTAGTGTTGAAGAGGGTGGTGGAGGAATATGTGGAGAGTGAAGAAGACTTTTCTGATAGGTTGGAGGAGTTCAGGAGGAACAGTAGCACCAGCTAACATGTATCTGTAGATCAAAGCTTGTAACTCAAGTTCCTGCCACTGGGCCAAGCTGAAATAACTTCCCATCCCTAACATAACAAAGGAGAACCCGAAGGGCAGAAAGTGAGAAGTGTGAACCCCAACAAGTTTTAAAGTTAGAAAGGTAATTTAGAAGGCAAAAATCAAGGCAGTAAACCAAGCCAAAAACTTTCCAACCCAGGGACTCTCTGAGGCTCTGTCTAGAAGAGATAAGGAAAAAAAAGAAGGTGCAAGGAACAAGGAATACAAATCTTACTGGGAAATCTAGTGGTTGAATCTGGAACCGCTGACAGGTTGCTGCTGATTTTGCTGTTGGGTTCAGGTACAAACAAAGGGAGAGCAGAAAGACTCAGATGGGTGTTGCTGTTGTTGTTGTTGATGTTGATGATGGGGATCAAGGAGAAGTTTTGGTATCTTCGCAGAAGGTTGTTGCTCTGACTCATGCTGGTTTCTCCATTGCTTCAGATGCAAGTCCATGGAGAGAGAGAGAGAGAGAGAGAGAGGGAGAGGAGAAGAGATTTGTGGTAGTTTGGTTGCTTTTGGCTTTGGTTGGTTTTAATAGAGCTTTGTTTGGTGTGTTGGGTATGTGAAGAGAAAGTTTGGAAAAGCTTTTGCAGGGACTTCTGTAGGTTTCTTTTATAACTTTGGCAGATAGCATCACTTAAGAGAGAGAGAAAGAGAAACGATTCTGACACGAAAGCCTGCAAAGTTTGTTTATGACCAGTGGAGAAGCCTAGGGCACTTGAGAAAAGACAGTCAGACAAGACAGTTGAGAGAAATAAAATGACACCCCTACAAATTATTTTAAAATTCTAGCATTAAGCTAAACCCTGTTGAGAGAGAAGCTTATTAACCTGCAGTCTTTCTGTCTTTCTTCCTTGCCTTGGAAATAGCACTTTTTAGAGAACCAGCGGGCACAGCTGCTGAGCCTGAGCTAGCCAGCTACTGCGTCCGGTGGGATTAGAGAGAGCTTAAACACGCTTTAGTTAATCTTAACTTTTCCATTTAAGTGCAATTACATTCTTAAATCAGGGCTAACTCACACACGATATTTAACTATATCAGGGATTTAATGGAGCCGACAGTGCCGTTTCAATCCCAGCCGAGCTCAGACTTTACTGGTTTGTCTTTCCGTCTCCAGGATAAAATGAGGACCGGGTCAAACACGTGTCTTATTCTGCACGTACGCTTGAACTTAACATCAACGTTGCAAAGCTGATATACGCTAAATTGCCATCACAACTTCACGTCTTTTCCCATTCAAAAGAAAATTTGCTAAACTAATAATACTGCTTAAGATTAAGTATAGGTATAATATTCGGACTTTTTTATAAAAAAACTATTTAAAAATATTTAAATAATTTTTTATTTTTTATTATATCTAGTTAAATTTTTTTATTTTACATTAAATAAAATTATATTATTAATAATTAATTAATTAAAATATTATTTATTATTATATATATATATAATAAAAAATATTACGTGAATATATAATTATATTATATCATCGTTTATTTTGAAATATTAACGTATCGTGTTAAGATCATTTGATTTGAAATAAAAATTAATATTTTATTTAAATTAATTATTAATTAATAAAAATTAATTTAATTTAAAATAAAAATATAAAAAATAATTTAATAAAGTAAAAAAAATAATTATTTAAAAATTTTAGAATAATTTAAAGATTTTTGAAAATATTATACCTTAAGATTACTAATATCATAATATTATTTATTAATTATTGTATTTAATATCTAAATATTTTATAAAATAATAATTTAAGAAGTATTTGTAAGACACCCACTTACAAGCCCTTATCAAATTTATCCTAAAAGAGGTTTAAAAAAAAGAAGTGTGAAGTAGAGTGAAGTCAATTATTCCCCATGCTTGTACTTAAAAGGAAAAATTGTTGTACTAACAACAACAAAGATGAGTGCTGCTTGGACCTGTCACAGAGGAAATTATCCTCTTCTCATTTCCCGAAATGTACATGAAAATTAAGTTGGAAATTCCGTTAAGTTGATCAAAAAACTGACTGGCCCACGCTTCATGATTTTTCTTTTCATTTTCTGGCCCCACAGACTTAATATCTCACCCAACCTTACCTGGCCATGCTCACGACTTCTATTTTCCTATTTTTGACTCTCAACTTGGGATGTAAAGGAGCGGGTATCAATCTTTTTTTAGAAACTCAATCTCGAATTTATTTAATTAAAAATATATTTAAATTTTATTAAAATTTAAATAAAATTATAAAATATTTTTTAAAATCGAATTCTAGTAATATAGTACTATCTATTAATTAATTAAATCCTTCCGATTAAATAACTCAAATAACAACTTAAATAACTAAAAATTAAAAAAAGTTGATTAAGATAGTA